TTTGTTATTCCTTTTTTTTTTCTTCGTTTGTTTTTCCTTTTTCCCTTTCTTCTTCCTCTCCATTTCCTTTAACCTTCTGCAAACCCTAACTCCTAATATTAAATTCGAGGATAACACAACAAATCAACAGATTAAACTCAATAGATATTTGACCCAACAGCTGCTGGGTTTGAAACGAAACCCAGAACCCAGGAACTCAGCGGCTGCTCAAACCCACCGCTTGCTGGGTTCGATTTCAAACCCAGCACCTGCAAACGAACCAAGCACCTGCAAAAACCTAGCATTCGAAATTGAAAAATCGAACCCAACACCTGCAGTAACCTAGTAACTACCTTGCCTTGCCTTTTTCATCTTCATCAATCAATTTTTCATCACAATCAAACAACAAAATCCAAAAATCAAAAACAGAATTTTTTTTTGCACCTGGGTTCGCAAGGAACCAAACCCAAGCGTGCTGGGTTCCACCAAACCCAGGCATGCTGCGTTTGGTGCAAACCCAGCACGATTGGGTTCCTTGCGAACCCAACGCCTGGGTTCGCAAGGAACCGAACCCAAGCGTGCTGGGTTCCACCAAACCTAGGCATGCTGGGTTCGGTGCAAACCCAGACGCGAACCCAGCACGCTTGGGTTCCACCAAACCCAGGCATGCTGGGTTCGGTGCGAACCCAGACGCGAACCCAGAACGCTTGGGTTCCACCAAACCCAGGCATGCTGGGTTCGGTGCGAACCCAAACGCGAACTTAGCATGCTTGGGTTCCTTGCGAACCCAGGCGTTAGGTTCGCAAGGAACCTAGCGCTTGGGTGGGTTCGAAGGAACCCAGACCTGCTGGGTTCCGAGGGGAAAGAAAAGAGAAAGGGGAAGGAGAAAGAGAAAGGGAAAGGGGAAGGAGAAAGAAAAAAGGAAAAAAAAAAGAAAAAAAGGAAAAAGAAAAAAAATTTTAAGTTTTATTTTTTATAATATTTTTTTATATTATTTTTTTTCCACATTATCACTTTTTGGTTATATTATCTTCCACGTGGATTATTATATGACATGTCATCTGGTAACTGTTAAGTAACAGGCCACGTCACACAATTTTTAACGAAATGACCAAATCGGGGTAAAAATGGTAAACAGTAGAGACCAAATCAAGGATTTTTTTAGTTCAGGGACCAAATCGGGGGTCCGTACAATAGTTCAAGGACCAAAAAGGAGTTTTAACCTTACAATTATAATATGATATTATATGATTAAGTCTTTTTATTTATATTCTACCATATATAACCACTTTTTAATAACATGTCATAAGTGGAAATTTATATTAACAATTTAAATAATTTAATAATAATTTTTTACTAATATAAAATATTTTAATTTCAAATCACATGATATACATACGAAATAAATTAAGGGATAAAAAATAATTATGTTTATTGTGTAACTCAAAATAAAAAAATATAAATTTATAATTTTATATAACATCATAACTAATATCATTACCACCATTAATAAAAGATATAATTACCAACAATATATAGAACTTGTATGGTATAGAGGTTAAAATATAGTGGTTAGAAGTTAGCAAATGAAGAGTAGTGGTTAACCAGTAATGAATATTAATTTTAATAATGGTTTGATTATATAATAATTATTAGTTACTGTTTAGTATCAAATCAAAAATAAAAGCTAATTTAAAAAGTAGTTAATTTTTTTAACATTATAAGAGTTTATTTTTATTTTTATAATTATTGTTATTATTATGCAATTACCAATGAAACATTATTATTATTATTATTATTATATTGGATTGTACAATGAGAAGTAATTGAGTTACACCTACATAGTTTACGATTTGAATTTAGAAGTTTTTACTTTTATAAAAAAAAAAAGATTATGATTAAATTATTTAAATAATTGACACATTATTATTTTTTTTTGTAAAGAAGTTAATTTTTTTAAAATATAAGGCAAAAATTACAATTTATTTATTAATTAATTATTAATTATCAAGTAACAAAATTTTGTTAAATAAGAAAATTAGTTACTAACATAATACATAACCAAAAGAAAAAGAAATGAACAACTTAATTTAAAATTATAAAAAAAAGTTAAACTCAAAATGAGACGGTATATATCACACCTTAAGTTTATATTTTATACTTAATTATTTTATAGGTAAATTTGTTATAATAATTTAAAAATTTTAAGCTGTTAGTAATTTAAAATAAAAATATTACTTTAGAAAGTTTTTTTTTTTTTTTTAATTTGCTGCTAATTGAGTTCTAATTGCCAATTGTTATTATCAAATAGTGAAATAAAAAATTTTATCAAATGTCAAATATTTAGTATTAGTAATTGGTGAGAAATGTTATTTATCAAATAGTATATATAGTAATTTGAACAAAACTACCCATCTAAAATTACGATACCATACAGACTCATAGTAAGTTTTTGAAAAACTCTTATTTTTACCGAAAAATAATTGCTATTAAGTCAATTAAGGCGTTGACATATTAACTTTGCTTTTGGCATGAATAGAAAATTGCAAGAGCCTCTCTAATTTGAGTGAAATGAGAATGATGAATTTTTGTTCAATTAAATTTAAAGTAAATATCTTTATGAGTTTAGTATTTTGTAATTAGGATTGTATTAAACTGTAAATTCTCTTTTAAAATTAAGGATTCTTTGAAAATTTAATAGTTAATATTTTATAATTTATTATATTTTAAATTATAAAATACTTT